AATGACAATGACAAAATGACAATGACAATGACAATAATGACAATGACAATGACAAAATGACAATGACAATGACAAAATGACAATGGCAATGACAAAAATGACAATGACAAAATGACAATGACAATGACAATAATGACAATGTGACAATGACAATGACAACAATGACAATAATATTAATGACAATAATGACAATGACAAAATGACAAAATGACAATGACAATGACAATGACAAAATGACAATGACAATGACAATAATGACAATGTGACAATGACAATGACAACAATGACAATGACAATAATAACAATGACAATAATGACAATGACAAAATGACAAAATGACAATGACAATACAATGACATGACAATGACAATGAGAATGACAACGACAATGACAATACAATGACAATACAATGACAATGACAACGACAATGACAATACCATGACAATGACAATGACAATACAATGACAATGACAATACAATGACAATATAATGACAATGACAATGGCAATACAACGACAATGACAATACAATGACAATAAAATGACAATGACAACGACAATGACAATACAATGACAATACAATGACAATGACAACGACAATACAATGACAATGACAATACAATGACAATGACAACAATGACAATGACAATGACAATGACAATTGTTTTATTCTCATAAACAATACAGCGAAGAGAATATATATATATATACAAATGGGTGACAATAATACATGGTGGAACAGGGTGGACATTATAATTAGTATTGTAAATTAATTATGTCATCAATATCGGTAATAAATTTAGCCAATGATGTCAATTCATGTTGTGTTACATAATTGAATAATGTATGATATTTAAATGTGTTTGGTCTTTCATAATAATATCTGGACATAGTTTTTCGCCTGCTATTGAGTATTGGTTGATGTGTACATGTAAACAGATCNGCAGGGGTGAATGAGTTCATGAGTGCCTAGTGATATTTCACATGCGATTCTTAATAGTAGGGATACTGGCGTAGTGGCATCAAACCAATATATATCAACGCCACAAGTTTACAAAAGTACGGTGTCTTGATAGTAATAAAACATAACAAGATTCAACGTAGAACAACATTCGGGGTCAGGCTTTCGTCATCATTAAATTCAGACCACATGCTTTCGGACAGGTAAAAGCTTAAAAATACACATGAAAGGTGAAAAAAACAAAGAATATGTGGATTTCTTAGTAAATTGTATTATTTGTGTCAAGACATCATCAATACATTGCTAGATGGTAAAGTTTTCCATACAGATATTTATTAGTACGCTATAACCTTGGTGGAATGGCTAATTCGCTAGTTAGCAAGCACACTCCAATTTAATATTAAATACTGTATATACATTATAGTCCATAATGTCGACTATAATCTATTTTAATTCCCCGTATCAGCTTTTCATATTATATCCTAATGTTTATGAATTTAAATACTATCAAGGTGTTTTTTAATAATACCTCGTATCGATAAAATGTGTTCCAATTGATTTCGTTTTCAAATACCTTTCATGTGATATAGTATTGAATTGCTTGAGCAATATTTTTGTAAGTGTTGAGCTACCAGATGACGTTATGCACGAACTTATTTAATTACTGTAGTTTTGCATGGTACGGTGTGTGAAGTATTCAGCATGATTCCCATACTGTTTCCTATCTCAAAGGGTGTTGAATTTGTGCATGAAATTTGTTTCGCATTGTTTGGAAATGTATATAGGTGACTGTTACATTGATAATTATTTTTTCCAATTAGGAAGCAGATTGAAATGCATTAACATTGTTATATTTTCACATTGTCGATCACGGCAATAATATTGAGAATACTATTGGAATATTTGCGATATAAATATATATGAGATATATTAAATGGTGTCTCAAAAGGCAATTCTTATATTGAAATAATAGATATCGACTGCACATGTACAGTTGGATATAACAGCACACTGCACACGTGTTTATTTCACTGGGGAAGTATTTGTCACTTGTACATTCCTCCCTCGCTTTTCCCTCCCATATAATCATTCCGTGTTCGTCCTAAGTGTTTGTCATTAGGTCCTTTCGTCCCTATGTCTGTCATGAACAAAAATAATGTAAACTAATGTCTAATTAATTTCCTCTGAAAACATCATTTTAGCATTATTTCAGACAAAATGGAGTAATATTCACCATTTTCAGTTTATTTCATTTAGTGATCTTTTATGTAATAGTGTTTGAAGAAACAGCTTATTCTCTTATCTCTGATAGATACTTTTTTCTTAAATATTCTACAATGAATAAAAATGAAAAGGATGTTTAACGAAGTTATCATGATATTTAAAATTTCAAAATAATCGTATCGGGGATAGGCATAACAGGCAGTATACTGATGGGTGATAACTGAAAAAAAAAGTTAATTCAGTTTCTCTTCAGCTGAATTGCAATTTTGAAAACCAAAAATATTGCCATTTACATTTTTGAAACATGACTTCCTTAGCAAAAAAAAGAGACCGGAAGACATCTTGTTTACATATCACGTGATCAACGCTGCTCTATTCGTTTTAAATAATCACCTTCCTTCTTAAGGGATATTTTGGATTGTTTGTTACACTGGTGAATTTATCAAAATAAAATTACTGTTTCATGTTATGACCGCATATGAATCATTAAAAATTACAAAACATCTAATTATAATTATATTTCAAAGTTCGATGATGTTTGTTCTCAACGTTGAATCAATTGAGCTCGTGATCTTTAGAAATGATGTAAAAAATGTCTTGTATTTTTTCAATATTTTCTATTGCACTGTACGATACATGTACTTAGATGTATTCTTATATTTAAGTCTTTTTTCTTTTGGCATTTCCTTATGTAGGGTCGACTGGAAGTCTCACGAGAACGAAGCGCCTAAGCACATCATCCACTAACGTGAACTCGCCAACCAGCACGCGCACGCGCAACCCATCGACGCCGACGCAATCTAGACTTAACAATACGATATCAAGGTCGACAACTCCTCAACCTACTCCGACCTATGTCTCACGTTCAAAGACGCCGACACCTCGGTCGTCGTCGTCTTCCCGTCCACCGGGTACTCCAAACAGGACAACATCTACCCCCACCCCTAAAACATCTACCCCGACCCGCACAGGTCGTACGACACCCACGTTCACTGGCAGAACGACCCCTTCGGGTCGGACTACGCCTACTATGTCAAATGGACCTGGCAACACCAGAAGACTTCCGTCAACACCAAAGAATGCTCGGTGATTGATTGAGAAATAGTCGAAATACGCATGCGTGAACGGATATTGATTGTGTGAACATATGCAAAATGACCTTCTGGGAATGTGTGTTTGCCGGGTATGATAGTGAGGAGTTACATATGTATTAGTGCAGAATTTGTTGTATGTTACATTGTGTCAGAGTGCGAAGGACTCTGCAGTTATTGTTGATAGTGTGTGTATATGATGTGACAACAGAATGCAATACTACCCCATGGCATTTAGTTAACACGAAGGCGAAACCAACAAATCATTCACATACACTGTGGAGGAACCGGACCAAAACCCGATAACATGTTATCTGTATGACTTCCATGAGAGTGTTTCAAGTTCAAGGTTTCAGGATTACTGGACAAAGCCGATATAGATTTGTGTTCTTGAAAACAAATATAATGAACTGATGATTCCAGACGTTATTGCAATGTCACGTGACGTAGCAAAAGAAAGCAATTGCATGGAAGACGAAAGAGAGGAAATACACACATTTGTCTTTCAATTCATATTTTTATACCCAGATATTATTTTTAATGGACCAGGAAGTGATTCGTGTTCGACGTGATTGCACAGTGCTTGATCAGACGCCTGAAAGGCGTTTTGATTGGCTAGAGAATATCAATCATACTTGTGGGGGTTATATACGGGGAAATACGTCTAGAAGTCACTTTATAGAATTAGCTTATGTACCAAGCAAAGTTATTCAAAATATACTGCCGTTTTGTTGATATCTGTATTTAAATTCAATTTAGTGTATATTATATTCGTTTATATTATGTTACAGTAAAACTCGAAAAAAGAATGTCTCAATTATTTCGTTCTTTGAGATGAATGTCTCATTCATATACTGTCGTTATATTTAAGAGCTTTGGCATATTATAGCCACAGTGTATGGTCGTTTGGACACAGCGAAAAACTGTGACGCATACTTTTACCGAAAAAATTACAATGCTAATTGTAGTTTAACTTGTACATTCCACGAACATTTAAATATAACTGGGTTAACTAAAATGACTAATTGCTCATTTTGAATAACCATTATTACACTTATATTGTTTTAAGGCAGGAACTATTTGGCGTTTGACATTATAAACCGCAAATCAATTTATTTATACTTTGCGAATATTTATTTGAGCGATTTCACAGCAAACGATTTATTCGCGAGGACTTGACTCGCAAACGAAAAATGACAGATTATGTTCATTGATCAATGAAAGTAAAATTTCTACAAATATTTTTCGAAACAAATATATTTGAAATCACGACAAAGCTCTCGCAAATTTAAGCGAAAATAATATATCGCAAAAGATCCTTTACATTATATGTGGCGTTAATTGCAGGATTGTAGGTGCTAGTTGTACGAGGAAAGTGTTTACATGACGTTCGACTTCTGTGTCAGTCCTTAATGATATCTATGCAACTTCTTATGCATATCATAGATCTTTCACAGATGTGATAAGATTAGTTGAATAATTTAAGATAAATAAATGAATAAATGTTTTCCAAGAGCCTAAAATTGTTCAGTTACTTTTCTTAGGAAACATTTAAAGTTATGTTAATTAAAATGACAATAAACATTAAAATTATATATGAAATCAAAATATTTTATATGAGATTCGAGAGATATTTTGTATATATTCAGAGGAACCTCGTTAGTCTACACAATGAATGAATGAACCAAAAATATTGAATACTTCCTACTTATTATTGTTCGGAACTGTCGGGGTATAGACTAACGTGATTTCACTGTATAATGATATTTTACATTTGTTTCATTCCTGCATGAACAAATAATCATGCGATTCACCTATATGCTTTTATTATATACCATTACGATGTTTTCATGACCACATTGACCGTACATATCATCATTCCAGTCACCTCATTGGGCCCGGCATTGTATAGAATCTACGTCATACTTAATGTAATAATAAAACAATCTTAATATGTTTACCTCTTTTGTTGTTTGTCAATGATGCTATATACAAATACACTGCTGGTTGCCGACATAAACGTTCCTATGTTTTACAACGGACAAGATTTTACTTGCTGTCGTATATGCTAACAAGAGAATGAGGTATCAACAGCATCGTATATTTTAACTGCACATCAATGTGTTGAAAGGTTCCTTATTGGCAGAGGCATACATTTTGAGAGTTGTACATAATAACGCTTTTATCTAGTATAAAGTTATTTTTATTTCATATTTATAGCAATGTGTTGCATGTATTTGATTAATTTGACAATGAAAAGGGATTCAAGGACAAGTTTTGAAAACTTTCAGATAAAGTTTCCTTTCGCTTTTATTGACAGTGACGTCAACTTTGTCAAAATATTTGTTTGTTAAAAATTTGGCAAGACTTTGATGGGGTTTCATGTGGGATTTTCAACTAAAAAATGACAGCCAATTTTCATTTTAAAATTCATGTTTTTATATCTTTATCAAAAAGAAATATTAAACTAAATTATCAAAGGCATATATTTTTGAATTTGAATTTAGCTTTAGAAAATGAGATATTTGCATTTTTCTGAAAAGCCGCTTCATTATTATTGAAAAAAATGTGTTCACCTGGAGGGGAAAAGCCGTGCATGCGCGTCGCGGTATGACGCGATAGCTGCATTTACGAACTCAAAATCGATAAAACTAGGGTAAAATATGAACAGAGGAGATATTTACATGGAAACCCTTCAAAAAGTACAATACTGAGCGCCTTCTGCTTCAGCAACGACACCAGCTATATGTATCTAGGTCGAACCCAAGTAATGCCACGTCCTCAAAACGGGAACCAGGAAAATCACAACGAAACAACAAGGTACACTTAAGAGCATACTGCATAACGTCGACCACCATATCACAAAGGCATATTTCCTGATGAGATTATGATGGCGACTATAAAGCTTGTCCGTAGTCTTCACCAACCTACATCTGTCTGACAATAATGACAATGACAATGACAACAATGACAACAATGACAATGACAACAATGACAATGACAACAATGACAATGACAATAATGACAATGACAACAATGACAATGACAACAATGACAATGACAACAATGACAATGATGACAATGACAATGACAATGACAATGACAACAATGACAATGACAATGACAACAATGACAATGACAACAATGACAATGACAATGATGACAATGACAACAATGACAATGACAACAATGACAATGACAACAATGACAA